TCCCCAGTCTTCCACTGCATGAAAAATTCAAGATGGCGGCTAAACTTTTTACGATGTGAGCGCTCGCTCGAAAAAATCTCGCCTGCTCTGCAGGCTATCAGGGCCGTGGCCAGGATTATTCAAAGGGGGAGTCACACTGTGTCCAAGTGAGGGTACTCACCAGATTTGTCAAGGCGTTTTCAACACCTGTTGTAGGTTGTTTGCTTAAAAAGGCTTACAAAAGGGGGGCCACGGGCATCCCAGGACCCCCCTAGCTATACGTTCTTGACTTAGCTTGACTTTTATGTCTTTTATGAGATCACGTACCCTACTTTCTTTGAGTTTATTCTTGATATACCGTATACATCCAAAAGAAGGGTATCAAATAAAAGTCATCGAAATGAGAGCGGCTTCAATGCCATTCCTGCAGGATCTAGGACCCAGGAGTGTCCTGATTGTTAGAGAGCTTGAGAGGGAATTAAAAAAGAGACGGGCACGATAATATCACCGGTATGAGCGGTTGCTCATGCAAAAACTCTTTTGGCCATTTAATACACACTGTCATATCCTTCTTACAAATCAAAACCTAACTTATTGCACGCTCTAGTTGAAAATTATTCCGTATTTCAGTCCAGAAGCCTTTCTAGGGCCAATGTAAGGTTACAAAAGGGCAAAATCTACACCTAATACAGATTGAAATCTCAAACTCATAAAAGCATGAGTCGGCAATCAGTCTTCCTACTCGGCCAGGGCCGGGGAGGAGAGAGAAAGGCTATAACGAGTGGCTCTGGGGACGAGAATGCGTTTACCCATCGTGCTCCGTAAAAAGTGTTGCATGACAACCTGCTACAAAGTAGCGCATAGCCAACACAAACTCACCTAAGGAGCGTCGGTTAGTTACGCTTGACGGATGACATTGTCAGACGCTGTTGACGTACATGTAGTACCACAAGTCGATTACCTAGCTAAATTGGATTCAGTATTTTTCCAGAAGTGAGAAGCGGCAAGCAGATCCTTCGATATCACCAGAGAGCTTTTGAGTGCTTGTAAGTGAACTATTTGTGGGGCAATTGCAGAATACCCGGCCACTTCAGTTACATGTGTCGGTTTGCTTTGAAGAACGAGTTATATAACAATAGTTGCCATTCCCATTGAATGAGATGTTGTCGAACTTTAAGCCAGTTTAAGTCGTATGTATTTATGCCAAGTTAAAAATACGTTGCTGGCAGCGTTGCTTCGAATCTTTCCTACATAAGATGTGTACGCTGCAATCTTCTTGACGACGTAAAGCTGTAAAACGTCACCTCCGAGCGAAGGCGGAAAACCGAGGAAGCGATAACTTGCAAAATTAACATCGCTAAAAAGCGAACAGATAACAAGCAATACCCTGTAGAGGCAGGATAAAGCATTTTTATTAAGATCTCTCTCGTATCTCTACCTCCTAGAACCGACCGTAAATATTCCCACCCAAAGACTTGTATTTAAACTGATTTTAATTCGTGCTAAAATCGTCTTTAGCCTTAGGCAAATATTTTGTTTTTAATTATAATTAAATTAAACAATACAACAGCTGCATTCCAGACATTCATTCAGAGTTCATTGTCGTCTGATAACGATCAAAAACAATAAAATGAACCAGTTTATAGCGTACAATATATGATCAATAATTAAATAATGTGCATAGCCTTATACACTCTTCACTCTTTTTCTGTAAGAACCTTTTTTATAAGAACGTTGAGGCTGAGATTAACCAAAATTTAAAGAATGTATTAAGAACATTCCTCAGGCTAAGAGTCAGTTAAGAACGTTTTTATTTTGCTAATCTGTATATTAAATCAGTGGTGGATCCAGACCTTGANAGTGGCGGATCCAGGTTTTGAGCTAAGGGAGAGGTCCGGGTTTTCTTGCCCTGCTGGCTTTTCTTCCTTCTGTGTTTTGTCTCTTGTTTTACCCAAAATAAGGGGGGAGGCCCCCTGGGCCCCCACTAAATCTCCCACTGTAAATGACAAGCATAAAAAAAGGTGACAAAAAATGTAAATTAACCCAAATACTTTAGGGCATGGTTTGTATAACATTAGCAATGGTTTTCCTTTTGCATGACACACATCTCGGATTTTAATAATCAGCAGTTCTTATTTATAGCTCTTTCAAAATAATTTCGACACCATCAAAGTCATCAGGTGATACAAAGTCTAAAGTTAGTCTATTTCAATAAGCTTAAGAGATTTAAAGGACAAAGTTTATGTGCTTTCCTTTCTGGTCTGCTACATGAACAAAAAAAAGAGTTTTTCTTTTGTTATCTGAACTGGCATAGAGAGTCAGGATGTAGGGAAATCATTGGCTGCTTTGAATTTGCTTTATTACTCTATGAAAGGCTTTGAAAAAGTTGTGCCACATTGGGACATTCCACTTTTTATTCACACCCCGACCCCTCCTATGGAGTATAACCCATACCATAAGGCCTTTCAGAATACTTTTCAAAGCCTACAAAATTTCGAATCCCTCGGACACGAACCTCCTGGCAAAGTCAATTGAACATTTGGAAATCGAACTCAGTCAAACTCAATCCAACCCAAACCATCGATTGAGTTCGACTGAGTTCAGCAATCGAACAAAATCAAACACCAAGCTCTGTGTGAGTTTGATTTGTAAAATAGAACCCAATCAAACTCAATCCATTAGATTGTGTTCAACTGTGTTCAGCAACTAGCTGAACTCAATCAAACATATGGTAATCAAAATCATAATTTAGTTTGATTGGGTTCGATTGTCTTTGCAGGCAAACTTCAAAGATGTGGACAGCAAAAAAATTTGGTGTGTGAATTTCTCCCTCCACAAGGGTCAGTGCGGATGAAAAAAAGGAATCTCCCATTGTCAATCAATGAAATACTAAACTAAAGCCAGTAATGTAGTAATTTGGTGAAATATTTGTTAGTATGTTAACACTGTGCACATTTTGATTTGATTCATCCACAAAGTAGCAAGTTTGTTTAGGTACACAAGGCATTAGGTGATTTGTGAAGTGTGGTGGCTGCTTTGACTCAATTGAAAACTGTTATAACTTATATATTGATTTCTACAACGTAAGCAACTTATTGACCAATTCTCTCCCTTCTTCCTTCTCATTGCTGGGTTTTTGAGCAATATTCCTGATAAAGGGTTGAATATATATGTGGGATATTGACCAAGCGTGAGGTCAAGATGGCTGGATATTGGCCAAGTTCTTTTTTTGCCCGCTCGGGTAGCTAATCACAGCGCAGGATTTGGTTTATCTTGCCCACTCATGGAGCTGGCCATATAATAAATTTAAATAGTCAAGCAACCGTCCCTTGTCGTCTTTAAAAGAAACATTGTTAAGACTGACCTAGCAGGGCTTCAAATAATTTCCTGGGTGGCGCTGGTCAAATTGTCCAATCAAACCTATTTTTGCTCGGACATATCCCATTTTTGGCCGGACAAACATCAGTTACATTTTATCACTATAAAAGTGCCCCTCCCCCCTTCACATGATGTTTAAATATGAAACAAGTAAATTTTCAAAGCATTTATTGTACATGAGCATCGATCTCAATGCAGGAAAAGTAGAATGCATGGTATAGCAAAATCAGTTTCACATTTGTGCGAACATTTGCAATGATAGCTGGAAATTTTATGACAATTACAAATCATTTATTAAAAGTTCGTGGTCTGGTAGTTAAGTATCTGCCTTTTTTCTCTCCTTTTTCACAAACACCAATAATATTGAAACTTTAACTTCAAGTATTCTTAGTAACTATCTAGTAGCTAGTGTATGTCTTTTTAACAATTTTTGGTATGTAAAGTATTCGGTAAGCATATTTTTTTTTATTAACTGTGTAGTGGCTGCTGTAATTTTTTAGTTATGTCTATAAGTGTCCCCAGTTACACTGCAGGTCTATGACACGCTAGATGCATTTGACACGCAAATTGAAGTTACTTACTTTACATAGCCTAGACACTTCTGGTTTTAAATTTTCTCTTCTATTTGTTTTCCAGGACAATGGGTATCTATCAATTTCTTGGCCAATTTTGCTTGATGCTGATTACTCTTGGAAGTTTTTCCGCAGCTGCCAACCAATCATCTTTCCAGGTTCAATGTGACTTTGGTGATTCCTATTACTTGACAGAAACTACAGTTAAAGTGAATGGCTCTTTGACTTCACAGTTTAGCAATGCCCGGAACTGTCATGTTAGACATCACAGTGATTCAGCCATCGTTCGTGTGTCTGTGGGAGGATTCAATGCTTCAAGCAACTTAAGTACTCTGTACTCCATGGTTCTTGAAAACCTTAGAATTCAGTTTGTGGGTGTAGCGCAGTCTCGTGACCTGCAAAATATGCAAAAGTACACATTTCACGCTTGTCCTAGTATTGATTCTGGAAAAACAACTGAGCATGACGTAGATTTCCTATTCTTTGGTGCACCTGCCAATGACTTGTTTGCAGTAGAAGTTGAGTTGGATAACTCTGTTTTACCTTCTGGTGAAACAGCAGAATTTTCTGTTCGAGCTGATGGCTTGGCTAGGGTCAGGGCATTCGACATTCAAGAGGAACAGCTCTTCAGCTTACTTCAAATTACAGTGTCTTCGGAAGAATCTGAAATGGAATGTCTCCTGGTGGTATCACAAAGTTGTTCTGCAGAACAAAGCCAAGGACTCTCTGAGAACAATGCTGGTGCAGAAAATCAGACTATTCAGCTTACTTTCTCAAGGTCAGGCAGGATCACATTGTCACAGTATTCTAGACCCAAAATTACAACAGGGCGGTGGTACATTGGATTACGTAGCAAAAAAGTTGACAAAGAAAGTGCCTTTGAGAAGACTGTGAAAGTTACCGTAACACAAGGGTATAAGTATGACACCATTGGTAAAGCTCTTCCAGCTGGTTACATGTGCCTTATTGCTATATTTGGTGGTATTGCAATCAGTGCTTTTGCTCATTTCTTCCTGAATTCCGACTTTGATGAGTGTTCAGTTCCCTTTCACTTGGAGAACTCAGATGAAATGCCGAGGGCCAGAGCACCAAGTAAAGGAATTGCGGACTTTGTTCCAAAGCCAATACCTCGAAAGACATTCCCCACAAAAAGATGGCTGGAAGTCATCGGTATATCATGGTTTTGCAAAGGTTTAAAGACCTACCCTTACTTAACTGGAGTACTGGCCATAAGTTTCATGGTTGGTTCAGCCCAGTTTGTAATTGCACGCTGGTCCAGCATGATACAAGGAGGCAATCGTGACCTGTGCTACTACAATGAACTTTGTTACAGACCAATTGCCGTTGCTGACATGCCTTCCAACTTCATGCTGAGCAATGTTCCTTATGTTATTCATGGTATTTTCCTTGCTCTGTCATTCTCCTTCAGGGAAGCAATTGCACTTGAGGTAAACGGATCAAAAAGAAAGTATGTTCTCTCTGCAGACCATAAACGGTTCAGGCCATATGATTACTCAGTGGCTTATGCCCTTGCCTGGGCATTGGTCTTTGAAGGCCTATTTTCAGCCATGTACCATCTGTGTCCTTCCCGTCTCACATTCCAGTTTGACTCTGCCTTTATGTTCATCATCTCGGGGTTAGTTGTGGTTGCACTTTTCAACTGCCGAGTAAATAGCGAGGCTCTCATGGATGCAGAGGAAAAGGAACAAAAAGATCCCAGTAAAACAACTGTTCAGGCCCCAAAGTATTTCTTATTCTTTGTGGCGCCACTGCTGGTGTTTAACTATGTGGGTTCTGTGCGGGATACTGATGGTCTAACACATTTCTTTGAAGTGGCCTACTGGATTGCCCTGGTTATTTGGTTGATTGCTTTGTACATCTGGACTTTCCAGAAGATTGGGGTTCCTTGCAGGTGGAAAAATTTTGGTACTAATGGAGATTGCTGGTCACTAGAGGCTGTAGTGAAGTGGACCTGGATTATCGTATTTCCCCTTTGCCTGCTCATCATAGGTTTCAAACAGAAAAATGACTGGTCACAGTTTTTCCTGTTTTCTTGTGTGGCTGCCGTAGCACTGACCATTCTTGGTTTGATGAGTTTTGACGTAGCATTGTCTTTCAAGAGGCACAGAAGTGGGAATGGACATTGTTGTGGTGGGATCAAACAACTTTGCAACCCAAGGTTAGTCTGGGCAGCCTTTTGGAGAAACTGGCATCGTGTGCTGTTTATGATTGCCACCTTCATCTTCTGGGTGTTTGCCATGTACTTCTTCAAGATAAAATCCACCACTCGCAAGGTTGCAGCACCAAGCTTTTCCCGTACTTTGAATGCAGAATGTGTCTTGTGGGACTTCTTTGACTACCACGACATCTGGCATATGCTGTCTTCATTTGCACTTTTGATGAGTGCGTACCTGTTGATATATGTGACCCGCAAGGTAGAGATCTACTCCTGGGTGGAGAGGATGTACTGGAAAAGTAGAGATGCAGCTAATGGAGCTGGTGGGGGAAGCACAGAGAAGATAATGATGCAGATAGATGATGCAGGTAAGGAAGACAGTTATGAAATAGTGGAAGAGAGGACAATGGATAAATCAAAACTGAGAGACAAATATGACAATGAGTATGCTAGTGTCTCCTATGTATAAGCTAATTACCTCTCAGTTATGGATATTGCAAGTTAAGTGATAATTTAATATTAATTTATATTTATTGCTGTATGAATGTGTGTTATGTGTGCCCTTATGACCGACAAGGTACATATATGACTTGATCATTTAGGTATGAAGTCTAAAGTTTACTAATTAATTCTCTCTCCAAATGACAATTTTCAGCTTTGAAAATGATTCAATCAAAAATGAAAATGTTAATTGCGTTTTATTTGGCTTCATTTCCTCACTAGTTGAGTCAAAACCAGAAGCCCTCTTCATGACAAAGTTTCTCTCTCCAAATGGCAATTTCTGTTTTCAAAATGACTAAATGAAAAATAACTAAATTAAATAATTTTGTAGTAAATGGCCACCTAAAACTGTTAGTATTATACTTCCAGTTCAATTTTCCTGGCCCACTGACATTGTCATTACTTTACTTACACCATACTACTGCTGATTTCCGATGAAATTAACCTGACAAGTACTGGACTACAGCTTGATTATAATCACTGTCATCAGTCAACATGGCCAGCCTTGTTTTCTTTTGAAAACTTAAGGATAAATTCAAAGCAGAATGGTTGGCTTATAAAGCTGTCTTGCCCATTTGTGAGAAAATGACTTTTTTTCCTATACAACTGAATTAAGTTTAACTTCTCTAGTTAGACCGCTCTTTAATTAAGTACGGAAAATAATACATGCTTGCATTGGTTTTAAATTTCTATACTTGGTAATTAGTGTAAAAAAATGCAGGCCACTTTCTCAACCAATGCAAAGTTCAACCAAAACTAATCATGACTTGCTTGCTTGGGTTTTCCCATATTTTATGCCACCCTGGGAAGTTGGACTCCCATCTGAAAAGGTCAGGGATGCTTGTTGGAAAATTTGAATCAAACCCCTAAAGGAGACCAATATGGGTGTGGTTTGAGCTTTTTTGACTCCTAAAAGTTACCACCAGGAGTCCATAATCCCATGGGCTCCTGATACCACTTATAATGGAATAGGCTTGAGTACCCAGAAAGGAGCCTGTGCTAGTAGACCAGACTCAAGAGACTGGTGTAAATCGAGTGGAAAACAAAAATGAGAGCGTTTTTCAAATGTTACCCTTTTGAATGCACCCTAAAAAGTACTTTGACACAGCTAAAAATAGTGGCCTTAAGGGAGATGAAAATCCTTGCTTTACACCCCTAAGTGAGATGACAAGCATCCCCAACCTATAGGAGTCCCCCCCAGGCGTGGCACCTACAAGTACAATGTATTTTCTTTGAGTTTTGATTGGTCCATTTTGATTGCTTTTGTCCTTTTGTCAGATTGATTGTTTAAGTTTAAGCCACGCCATTTTGAGTGCATCATGTATAATGATTTATGTTCTGCTAAGAAAAGTAAACTAACTGACTTTCTGTGCCTTGCCTCCCCCCCCCCCATCAGCTACTGCTGACCCTGTCACACTTTAACTACTACAGATATCATTTCTAATAACTTTCATTGATTAAGATTGTCATTGTATAAAGCTAGATACTCCTTAACAGCCAGCCAACAAATTTTAACTTGTTGGCGTGGATTTTTCTACGATTTTTAGAGTAATAAATCTATTAATTTTTATATATCTAAGTAACACTAAGAACTGATGTAGCCCAGTTTAATAAGCCCTTGCACTGTTATTTCTTTCTATTATCAACTTTTGATATTGTTCAGGAAGCAAATTCTGTTGATACTGCTGAAAAGAGCACCATACAGTCGTCGTTTCTTCTAAAATCATGAATCATGGCCGCTTGGGGGGCACAAGACTGTGTTATACGGACGTTTGTAAAATTTTCTGACTTTAAAATTATTTCGCAAGTTTGCCAAAACGGGCTCTCAAACTTGGCCGTTTTATTAATTTTGAGGGTCTCTTTGCGGCCGTGGCAATAGGTTTTCGCTACTTAACAGCTGAAAAAAGCCTGTTGAAGGTTCTATTCTGTCAGAACTAGTGCTTTCTTATCATTTATTCTGATCATCGCACACTGTATATTACAGATAATTTGCTGTGTTTAATAAACACCGGCTTGTGTGAAACTTCTTCTCGTGTCTTACGTAAGGTTTAGTGCAAGGAAAGTCGCGTTTTGCAACAATCAAAAACTGAATATTAAGATTGGTTTGTTTGCTTACCCTGTAATCAGTGGGTTCTGCTTCTTTTCCCGGCGAGAGTGCAGAAACGTTAGCTCACTTGTGAGAAAGCTCGTTGTTTTCAATTATCTTGGTGAGAGCTTGTTAATTCACTACAAGCTTGTAATGTGTCTCTTCCTCGAAGGCTTAGTAACAGGGAGCGGCGTTTCATGTTCTCCGTACACTGTTCCTTCCCATTGCCACTTATGTGGAGACTTCTTTGTTTACCTTACCTTTACATGTTGTTAGCGAGCCTATTTTGCAGATCTCCATAAAAGCAGAGGAAGTTTTTTTTGTTTTGTTCATTTTGTTTGTGTGAAATGCGACAACCCAGCTTGTTCAGCCTGAAAGCAATTTTTGCGGCAGCCGCGTCGTTTTTTCCTGCGCTCTGGTTGAATACGGGTCACTTGGACACCGACAAACAGCAGAAATGGTTCCTGGAAGCCCACTGTTTTCCAGACAGCAGAAATCCTACCTGACCATTGTTTTCCTCTGGAATTCATTAGGTTATCACCAAATTTGCCGTAGGTGAGGAAACAAAATATTTCTTCTCCCAGTTTTATTTTTCACACGCGTATAGAGAGCTCTATAGTTTATGCTTCTGTCACGCCATTCTTGGGAAGTCAGAAATTATTTAATGTCAATTAACAGCATGTCACGCTTTCTTCAGGCGACCAGGTCAGCAAATCGATTTAAACTTGATTTTTTTTAATCTGTTGATCTGACAGCTTCAAATGTTGCTCAGTTGTGACCATCCGTGATCCGCTTTTTGTTCTTCTTTGTGTTTTGTTTTGATTTGTTATGTTGTTGTTGTTTTTTGTTTTGTTTTTTTTTTCTTTGCACTTTCCTTGTTGTAAGGCCAGGGTTTTTCTTCGTTTACGGCAATGACGATACTGATTATGATAAACTTTGTTGTATAATTGTATGAATAACATGCTATTAAAATATAGGCTACAGTTGAACCTGACGTAAGCGGCCACCCGAAATGTCAAGCCTGGGTGGCTGTTTACGGGAGGTGGTCTTCTGAGTCAAAATTTTGCCTCATTATACAGTTGAACCTCCCGTAGGCGACCACCCAAAATGTCAAGCCTAGGTGGCTGTTGACGGGAGGTGGTCGCCTACGAGAGTTCAAACTATATTGGGTCAAAATTTTGCCCCATTGGAATATGGTGACTCAGGAAGAGACTTATCCCATGTGCCTATGCCGATACGACGTTTTATTCATGTGAAAAGTCAATTTCGAGAAAAAAAAAAACCGGTTCTTCCCATTGAGAAATTTCCGTCTCTTGCACTACCCAGGAAAATGATAATGTTACAACACATTATCCTATTTCCTCTCTATTATCTGTCAAGTAGTTGCTTACGGGAGGTTAAAAACAAAAGAAAATTTCAAACTTTTAGCTCGAAAAGTGGTCGCGGTCGCTTACAAGAGGTTCAAAATATAGTGATTTGACTGGGAAACTTTCGGCATTTTGTAAAACAGTTCACTTACGAGAGGTGGTCGCAACCGGAGGTTTGCTGTCTGAAGATTAAACGTAAGATAAAGACCAAATGTATAAACATAGTCACTCACATTAGTGTAACTTGACGTAACTTTGAAATTAAGATCGGCTAATTACTTAATATGGTTTATAATCTACTGTAACTACTTAAGCTGTGCTTTTTTTTCTGATTGACAGATACTCCGCGCAGAACGTCCGTTGAAACTTAAAGTCAAGAAGTGCATACATGGAAAGTCTCCATATGAAAAGGGAAAGAATTCCGGGGGGGGGCTCCCTTTTAAAAATGACGGATTTGCTCGTCGTACCTTTTAGGAATTAAAAACGCGGTTTTGGTACCTCTTGAAGTTTTAAGCCTTAAAAGGACCATAGTGGGAGGTTTTTTTTGCAGTACCTTTTAGGGTATTGAGCCGTAAAAATATGACAGGAGATAATGCATTATGTAAGAATTGGTACCTCTTAGGGGAGAAAAAAATTTCAAGCCACGCCCACAAAACAGGATCTTGATACCTCTTAGGGTTCTTTGTAAAATTTCCGACGAGCACCCCCGTCCTTTTCATATGGGAGTCCCCCCCCCCCGGGGAAAGAATCAGTTCTATAGATATTTAATTAATTATACGTCGCTGGGAACGTAACGATAGCAACTCTGTCCAGGTACATGAGCGTGTCATAGTTCTCAATAGTTCTCAATAGTTCGTTTCAATTTCATTAGTACACATAATTTATATAAGCAAGACTTTTAATAGCCCATATTCACGATAGACGCCATGATGGTTTTCGTATTATAATGCAAATTAGCCACGTTGTCCGCCAGGGGGCAAACATTGAAATGGTTCACATTTTTCTGAAAATCGGCTCGCCTAAATGGTCAAGTACCTGCACCAAAATCACATTTGGGAACCAAGTTATGGAATAATGATTTTATTATTAATTTAAGTATGAAAAAGTTCCTTGATAACTTGACTTATTAACTACGCGAGCCGTTTTCTTTTTATAAAATCGCCGAAATTCTGTAAAACTTGGAGTCTTTTCACCCCAATACTGAAACCAATGCATGGATATGAAACAAATTATTAGACATGATAAGGAACCAGCTGAAATTTGCCGATTTTAGCTTGTTTGACCCCTCAGAAATCACGTGCCTGATTTGCATTATAATGTAAAAATAAACATGGCTGTTATCGTGAATAAGGCCTATTTGCATTACTTCTTGTTTTCTGATTTAGTTGTATTGATAGGTACAGTTGAATTCCAGTGAGGATTCGAGTTATCGCGAGATGGTAACCGAACGACTCAAAATTAGGCATAAAACAGGGTCACTCCATTTCCATTAGGTTTATTACTGCCGGAAAGAATAATGATACTGAAGCGATACTTCGCCGACAAAACTAATCATACCAGATCTAAGAGAACAAAACAAAACACAACTAAGTAGAAAAAGTAGTGGGGTATTACTGTACCAACGTCTGTTGGTAATTTCGGACACTTTGCTGCGAACCTATTTCTCTAGTGACTCTGGCAGGGTTTTGACCATTAGTATTGAATTAGAATAGTTATTTTAATCAAGTCAAATTACAAGCCTGATAGACTTAAATCAAATGTGACTATAATGTAAGCATATTACAGGTAATAACGAATGTTTAAATAGTGTTTTGCTATCATCTCCGTTAAAATTTTGGGCTTTAGTCTTGAATTATAAATGTCCAAACAAATGTGTTTTTTACTGTTTGTGTGGCTTTATTTGTGATTTTCTTGAATTTGAATTTTCTTCGGTGAAATCTTCCAAAATTTTTACAACACATCGCTTCCAGCGGGATACGAATTTTAAGCACAAAAATAGTTGGGTTTGTAAAGGCAGTTTTTTCAATTTTTTCAAATTTATGCATTTTACCGCTGCAAAAATCTGGTCTTATAGATGTCCCTGAAAAACGAGCTCCGACTGAAGTAAAATATTTACTACCAATCTGCCAAATTTTACGGAATTTCACCGAAGGAAACGCAAGAAAATTCACAGTCAGTTTTGCTTTTTGTGCTCATGTTGACGTCAGAAAATGTACAAAAACACTGACGTTTTCCTTCGAGCGCGCGCAAATTACTTGAGCTTTCGTCCTCAGCGCGCGTGCGATCGTAAAACTATAGGGAGCCACCTTAAGTGTGATTCCAACCGAGATTGGCATTTTAATTAAGATTATACAAGTGTGATAGACATTTTAAGTAAGTGTGATTACAAGCGTGATAGGTATTTTAATCAAGTTTGATTTCAAACGTGATAGACATTTTAAAATGCGAGTACAGTATACGCATATACAAATGATAGACATTTTAATTAAGTGTGACCATAAGATTATACAAGCGTAATAGGCATTTTAAGTAAGTGTGATTACAAACATGATTGGCATTTTAATCAAATGTGACTACAACAGAAGCACAGAGCGATTTTCAAATGAGTGTCGAAAGTAAACAGGCAATTACTTTGATAAAATTTTGAGAAACAACACACCGTTTTTTAAAAACATGATTCAACAGAATCTTCCGTCATCTTCAGTTTAAATTACAAAGTACAGAGTTGAATATATGGTGTTCGCAAAATGCTAATTGACTATAAGAACAAAAGAAACATGACATTGTAAAACATGTATTACAAAGAAAGTTTTAAATTAACATGATAAAGTTGATGATTTAGTGTAGGTTTTTTCCCATTGAATATGAATAGCTTCTTTTATCTTAAGCTGGAAGGTGGTGGAAGCGTGATCTAGCCAAACATTATTGTAACAGCATTGATATTAAGTTAGTTTTCTCATCCTTTAAAATCGGCAACATGTTTGGTGTGAAAGATCCTATCCCTCGTGGGATCCGTGTGGGTGTGGTATACAAGTTTTTGTGTGTGGGCTGTAAAAAACCACCCCGTATTTTTCCACGCGCGTACGTGAGCACATGTTCAGTGACAGGACCTCTCACATTTTCAAACACTTACATAATTCTCAGCAATGCCGCTCTTCATGCTCCAATGACTGTTTCAGTATCCTTGATCACGCTTCCACCACCTTCCAGTAAGTAACTGGTTTGGTTTTGGTTTTACGACACTCAGTTGAAATCCGCTCTATACAAGCGTGATAGACATTTTAATTAAGTGTGATTTCAAGGGTGATAGGTATTCAAGTCAATCGTTATTACAAACGTGATAGGTATTTTTTTAACAAGTTAGGATTAACTAATTACTAGCTGGTGGCAAGTTTGACAATGTAGCGCGGTTTTAACATTTGTTTAATTTAAGGGCTCGCTGTTGTGTGTGTTTTGAAAAAGAGATGTTTCGTTTGCCAACGCGCCTTCCTCGTCCCCACGCCACACTCCACCGTGAGACGCGGTGCGCTTGGAGTTGACGGTTTTCCCGCCATTTAATGAGATGAGGCGCCTCGCACCTCTCAGAAGGCATAACAGGATTGGTTGAGAAAACGATAGAAATAACAGAAACAATGAACCGATAGAGGTGCATGAAACAGGAAAACAATGAAATGCCACAATTTGAAGAGATGCGTGGCCTCTGAACGATATCCACAAGGCAGTTAACGCGCGGCTAAACCCAGACCACGTGCAGCGCCAAATCTAACCTTGTAACTGACGCCTCTCGTTGCGTGCTCCGCTAGAAAAAATGATGGAAAAAATTTTTCGGGCAGATAGCAAGCGTTGAAAGATTCTAGGCTTATAGCGTGTAAACTGGCTCCGGTTAGAAGGGCAGAGAAGAAACTGGCTAAGAGTGAAGTGGTCGAGAGAGGAATGGGGTGGAGGATGGGACAGCTTCTCTCCTTTACTCCCGCTCTCTTTTCGCCTCATCCTTGGCTAGAGAGCCTGTTCACAGGCTACAAGGCTAACTAATCATAAACCATTTTCACGCCTTTGAAGAAGCTTAAAAAGATGTCGAGTCTTTATTTCTTAATAACGGTATAAAGTGAATCCAGAGACATTTCACCTTCTGTTGACTACAGCTGAAAAGCATGTTTCTTCAAGGGCGTGCACATTTATCTCTATAGTTGTCATTTAAGTGTAATAAAAGTTCTTCAGCCTTTTTACTTAAAAACAAAGCAAAATGTATCTTCTTAAGATTTCCTCGCTTCCCACGCGGGTAGTCCCCTCCGCTAGTCTGAACTTCAGCCGTCTCTTCCCTTTACCCCGAGGGTGTCCCGCGCCCCCCTCGGGGTAAAGGGAAGAGACGGCTGAAATTCAGACTACTCCTCCGCGGACGTTTTTTGAGATGTCACGCAACGCTCCCCCTTAAGTAAGGGGAAAGTGTTGCGTGACATCCCAAAAGGCCGACCGCACGCGCGCGGACCGCGATTGGTCAGAAAGGAAAAGGGATTGGGTTGATGCAATAGACTCCAAAAACAGCTATAGCCCTAAGCACATGATTGAAAACTACGTAGCTAATTCGAGAGCAAGCCTCTGTCCTCGAACGCCATTAACACTATATTCTATAAGTTCATCTTGGAACTGCACATAAAAGATTCCTTTGGAAAAGTCAAGCAATATTCCGACACGAGAATTTTCCATTTCCTTGTGCATGTTGTTGCTTGTACCAAAGACGATGGTGACAGCTGAAAATTGCTTCAGAATTTGGCGTTATTCAACGAGGCCTCCTTGAAAGCTGGTATCTTTTCCATCAAGAATAACCTGCAAAAAAAGAAATACAATTTGGAGGTGACAATGGCTTCCCACAGTTTTATCACTCGTAAAACTATTTTTTTCTTATTTTGAACAACTTTAGTTTCAGTACACAAAGCACCCTTTTTCACCCCTCCCCCTTACAATGTTACTTCTCGGCCTAAAGAAGCGTAATTTCTCATTTTCGCGCTCCCACGATTCTAACAGAGGCGGCGGCATAGCGCGAGTACATCAAAAGTTCTCGCTCTTGGAATCTTAACACTCGCTCTCTGAATCTTCACATTCCACCGGTAGTGTGCAGAGTAACAGACTGTGATAGCAAAGCATTTTGCCCAAGAAAACAACGAGCAAACAAGAGCAAGGCCCTGCCAGTGGGCATCAGGTACAATTCACCAATCAGAAACAAAACGATAACGGAGGGAATACCTCGCTCTCTCAGCCATCTCATCCCCAGACCACCGCGGACTGTACGGGTAGTCGGCCTCAAGTTTCTCGTATGGTTGGTTGTTTTTCTCGTGGTAAATCGACTGAAGGTAAAAGAATGGGGCTTCATGAGGAAAATTCTTGTCCAGTTCAACTGAAAAATTAAACCAAAAACAATGTTGATTTGTGTTTGCTGTTGAATGTTAATTTTCACCTCTACTTTGGTTTTTGCATTGTTACCCTTTAGGGACTGGTTTTAAAACTCATACCACTTTCTCTTGTAATAATTACAAGTAGAAGTAAAACCAAAACTAATCGTGACTTACATATGTTTTCCTGGTCTGCACGAATTTATTTCGAGTTTTGATTAGTCACTGAATTGTCTGAATTAAAATTCAAGTTGGTTCCAGTTTTCCAACACTCCATTCCAATCAGGATTAAAATCAAAAGCTTTCCTGCACTAAGCATCTATTACACTTTTCCCGCGCTTGGCACCGATTACACCTTTTTCTGCGCTTAGCACCGATTACAGGTTTCCCGCGCTTGGCACCGATTTCACGTTTTCCCGCGATAACCAATTGCATATTTTCCCGCGCTTGGCACCGATTACACGTTTTCCCCCGCTTGGCAGGCACCAATTATATGTTTTCCCACGCTTGGCACCGATGACACGTTTTCCCACGCTTGACAGGTACCAATTACACCTTTTCCCGCGCTTGGCACCAACTACACGTTTTCCCACGTTTGGCACCGATTACACGTTTACCCGCGCTTGGCACCGATTACACGTTAGTTGCATGCTGTCGCTTCCAGTTTGTTTCATTTCGTTATTTCGCTAGTACTAAGTTTGGTTTTCATGGTTTACATGTGCACTTACGACAACAGCCACACTTACTATGAACAATACAGAAAAACCCTTGAACTTGGAATAGCAAGGAGAGCTTCATGAATCCTTCAGAATCGTACTCTAAAATAGAACTGCACAAAGAAAAGCAAGTATTAAACTTATAAAGAGGTGTGAGGGAAAGAATAGTTAACTGGAAGATGGAAACTGAACTAATTAACAATTAAAATTTTATACAGCAGTTGTAAACATTGTGTATTCTGTAAAGAGCATAATTATATTGTTTATGAGAAAGTATCCTATCCTGTAAAAGAAAGGGACAACCAACAGTAATGGGAGTGAGTATTTCAACTTGCACATAAAAGTCTTACCTTCCAAATGCACTCAGAAAAGCTGCTATGTATTCTCTTCTTTTCTGAAACATTTGGCAAACTTGCTCAACCTACAAACCAAATTAATATAAAGCATTTTCAGAGAGAAGTAAAATAACTGGCTGGGCCTTAACTCAGCAGTTTGAACTTTCTATAGCTGCATGGAATGCTGTATTCAACCACAAGTGACCCCCCCCCCCCGCCCTTCTGCAGTTTGGTAAGTTTCTGCATCATTACATGTAATATTTGCCAAGTGTTGCCTTTACTGTGATATGTAGAACTGAAAAGATCTTCCAGTGACTAAAACGACCAATATTTGTCCAACACTGAAGATGTGATGAACGCTAGCTGGGACCATCCTTGACACGTCATTCATTTACATTCCGTGGGTCAAGTGGGTAAGGTGAGACTGATAGTAACTGCTAGACGCACCTTTGCTACACTGCCACCTTATCTCATCCTCAACCTTGTTTGTTAAGTGTTACAAACCTCAAATAAACCAACCTTTTGTGCAAAAAGTTCTTGAATAAGAGGGAGGTACTCCAACAGACACCCATTCACCCCTCCCCAGTGGGGAATGCGAAGATTACTAGCTCCACCAAATGCCCTGCAAGGTAAACAAAATTTGAACAGATGATCCCTTGATCTCGACAAAGTTGAGCAACAACAATAAAAACACTCACCTTTCTACTCTTGGTGATAAAAGAAGCGTTGGCTTGACATTTTCTCCATTTAATGATGCATAAGTTACAAACAAACATGCCATATCCTCTCCAGGACAATCCTTACAACAAAACAACAAATGATGTTAACAATGATAATTACCAATACCAAAGATTGCTTCAGCACAGAGGGCCTTCACAAAAACTTAAAGGACATTTGAACTTAAAACAATCTTGCCCACTATCAATGTGCCTTGTTTTGTTGCAGCCATTTTAAATGTTTTAAACACTGAAACAGTTTTTGTAAGGTTTCAGAGCTGAAAAATCTTTAGTAACCACTCAGAGCTCTAAGACAATGGCCTGCATGTGCCATTAATAATAATTAACTTGCACATAATTATTATTTTTGTCACACAGTTTTCTTTGATGTGCTTCTCCACCCCGTTACATAAAAATTGGATGACAAAAGAGGCTCTGTTTTCAGAGTGGTTTGTCCAAGAAAGTATTATAATTTTCCAGTTTCTGAGACTATAGTTTGTTATACAGTGAAACCCCAATTTTTCAAGCATCCAAGTGAAATGAAAATTGGTTTGAAAAACCAGATAGTTCAAGAAATCGGGGGTAAAATTACAGTGTTTGACTGAGGAGAGGGAAATGACTTTTGGTTCAAGTTATCGGGAAGTTTAAAAAAATGAGGGTTCAAGAAATCAGGATTCCACTGACGTTTATGGTTTTCATCCAAACAGCTCTTGGTGACAGTTTAACAGCATTCCACTTTCACAGCTCATAGTCTGGACTTCACCATAGTGGGGCTTGGCAGTTCATGGCAAAAAGGAAAATTTGCACACAAACGTCCCTAATAGATACGTATAATGTAGAAATTTTTCTTACCTTTATTATATAAGGTGGCACCTCACTGAGGTCAACTGGAAGCTTGATCATGAAATTCACAATAGTGTCTGTATTCTGAGACAAAACCAAAGTGACATGCTTACTAAAAAGGTGTTCAGTAACACTTTTCAGTTTTGATAAATGCATTTGTTTAAACTGTATGTTAGATGGTTCAACAGGGTGGAACATCTCCCGGTGACCCTTGGTTAAAGGTTACAGACTGTCCCAGCACAAGAATGTTATTTCTGTGGCATGAAATTACTAGGATTATAACATAGCAAAGTTGCAGAGTCTAATTAAGTGTACATACACATAAGCACACATTCACCCTCATGGCATGTGCAAAGTCAATTTTACTTTGCGAGGGAAATTTATTTTCATTGGCGATGCTAATGATATTGTTGAGTTACAGTAAACTTGGCAAGTTTGGAGATAACTCAAGAGGCTAGAGTTGCTCTTAGCTGTGTAATTGTGACACTTTCTTTTGTTCTCTCCAAACTTCCTGTGTGCATCATAACTCACTGACGCATGCTAAAGCGCCTCTGCACCAGACTCCTCCCAGCCGGATCATATCACTCGCCAAATCACCCTTCGCCATTTGCATGTATAACTCAGAGGAGCTTGCTTGCAAGTTAGGGCATCCCAGGGACTGGGCTTGCAGGTGGTTTGACCAAATGATCCTACTCTTACCTGTTGACCCCTGATAACATGTACTTCAAATTCAGGGTAATTATTATCAGCTGCAAGTGTAGTATATTCAAAGTGAATCCTTGGTATTTGTTCCACTTGCTTTCTCTGGTGCTCTTTGTACTGGCTGACCAATTCATTGATCAGAATCACCAGGCTCTGTGGATCACTAGCATCCCAATTCTCAAGAGACTGAGGACAAATGGAAACAAATGTGTTCAGAAATAATGTGCCTGTTGGTAATGCATGGCTCAAAAAAAGTGCAGTCCAGATCGTCCAGGACAAGTAGATTTTCCTTGTGGGCAAGTAATGTTTCGTTCTCACTTACCCTATGGGTAAGGGATCAGGCAAGTCGTCTGCCAACTAAATCACTAAAAGAACAATCTAAAACTGATAAGCAAAATTTAAGTGCTACTTGTCCAAGGGCAAGCTGGAATTCAAGTTTTTCAAACCCTGTAACAGTAATAAGACTGAGTAGGGTACACTTTGGAGAGTACAGGTGGGTAGTTTCAAATCAGATGACCAATTTTGAAATTGCGAGCAAAATTACTTTCTGAAAAGAACAGTCCTCTTCTCAATCCAGTAACTATACATCAAATCAATATCAAATTTTGAGATAAAAAAAAGGGTTTAGGAACCTTATTCAAGCACAAAAGTCAGTAGCATTTTCCACATCATTTACAAGCAGTAACGAAATGTTAAGAACAACACTATTAAAGTAGACATTATGGGTGAGTGGTGTACGTGTCCAATTACAGGTATGCCTATAAGTTACAAAATTTAGTGAGGAAGCCACATCAGCCTTAGCTGGTTTTCATGTGGGTTCTCTATCCAGGTTGAAGTGGAATTTGGAGTGTTGGTTTTTGTGGAGGGAGAAAAAAATGGTAATCCCGGAGAAAAACCCTCGGGGCAAGACAAGAACCAACTCAACCAAATCAACCCACATATGGCAACAGGCTGGATTCAAACCCATGGCACAGTGGGGGGAGGTTAGCGCTCTCACCACTGCGCCATCTCCGCTCCTGGTTACCAGTTACGTGACACCAGTAACATGACAAACAGGTGTGCAGGGAACTCATTTTTTATAGATACAGTACAACAAAACTCACAAGTGTGACTGACTTTTTAGCTAACAGTTCAGTATTGACTGGCCTGTCACCAATATAACTGGCCTTATAAAGAGCAAATCAGCACCAATTTATTGGAAATTAAATTTAGCCCAATAAACTAGCCAAATATTGTGAGGAATACATCACCCAAAGACATTTAATAAAATACAGATGTGGCAGGTGCATGCCCTTCCTTAGCTTCTGTCTTGTTGTAAGAACTGCTAACAGATCATGCCAACATTTACCAATCTAAACAAAATATGAAAATACACTATTAACAATATTGTGGCAAACATTTTATACAGAGGAGTACCTTGACTTCAGTAATATTAGGAACAAAATCCTGATCATGTAATCCAAAAATAAAATCTGGTGGAAAGTCTGGTTGTGCTTGGTTAAAGATCACCTCCCCTGTTATAAAAGAAAAAATGTCATTAAAAAACCTTAAACAGCTAAAATAAATAAATAAATAAATAAATAAACAAATAAATTACAATATGAAGAGTTAGTTACATGTAGTTCTCCCTACACTAGGAGGCACCTAAAGTGTCTATACAGCCAACAGGGTTTTTGTAGTTTTGGTATCTCTATAGTGTGTAGAAAGGTATTCTACGAAAAAAATTGGATTCCAACATTTTAACGCCCTAAAATCTAGTTTTAAAGTTCCCGCTTCAGCCATGCCCAATCTAGTTGACCATGAGTCAGTGCAAAAAAAAGAGTCTGGGTTTCTGAATGGGTTGTGACGTTAAGTCAGGAATTGCCAAATCCTGCTAGTTCAGGTCACTGTTGTTTCAGAAGTGGTGAGGAGTTTTCGTCGACAAAAAACAAAAAAACTGAAGTTGGTGAAACAATGCAGTTTTCAGGCAAGCAAATTAAAAACATGAAGCTTTGAGATGTTCCTGAAGTGATGTCATTCATCACCAATCTTTCATTACATGGTCAACTTCATTGGGCATGGCCAAAGCAGGAAATTTAAAGCTTGATTTCATGGCAAAAAAAGCATTGGAATTCATTTTTTCTGGTTTGAACCACAAAAACCCTGTGGGCCGTATGGACACTTTAAAGACAATATTTAGAGAGGAAGTGACATCAGCTATTGAAAGTCGGTTTTCATGCAGGTCACTCTTTCCAGGTCTTTGTGGCTTCATACACATGGCACTGAGTAACAGGTGTATTGGAGTGATATACAGGAGTCTTAAGGTCTGAAATTCACTACATGATCCCTGATTTTATCAAATAAACACATACAATACAAATCACTTAATAATATATAAAATATATATGATAGTGTAATTCATTACTCATGCAGTTAAAGTTACACAAAACAGAAGATATGAATGTCCACTTACATTTTAAAGATCTACCAGCATATGGTATCAACACCTTGAATCGATCGCAAGATCTTACGTTACCTCGAGTGTAGTTAAAGGACAAGCTGTCAAACAAATGTTCAACAAGAAACTGTTATGACAAAACTTTCGGTTGAAACTCAGGAAGTCTCGCAAGTTGAACGAAATTATGCTTAAATGTTTATATTAATACTGGTTGAACGAATCCTGATTTAAAAGTGCTCTTTTGAAAGAATGCTTCTTCGAAACACATTGTCGATGTTAAATGTGTGAGCTAATGTCTACTCTGTGACCAAGGACTGGCCTACCTTGTTTTCGGTTCGATGATTTTCGGTAATTCGCCACAGACACCCATGCCACCATTATTAAGCACGGCCTCTACAAATTTTGCAACGTCTGGGTGAAAACGTTGCAGCACATCAGCCGCCATAACTGCGTGAAAACAAGCAAAACTCAAAGCATTTTCGCGCTCCTACATTTCCGCCATTGTTTGGAAATTCAACCGGGCGTGGTAGACTGGGAACAAGTTTGCGGTATCACTTACATGATATTTACATAACGACAACATCACTGAAGAGAGAAACCGCTGAGGTCTCAACTAGGTTTGGCGTGAAAATGGAGAATGCTTCGCCGATTTCGACTCTTTTCAGTCCTCCAAACAGAGTGAAAGGAATGAAGATCTTAAACAGAGAAGAATTCAAAACTGTCCTCAGCCTTCCAGCTCTTCGAATCGAAGCAAAGAAATGTTCACTTTTCTTGAAGAATCTAAGCCACTGCCTTCTGAATCAGCCACGCATGAGGAACATTGTCCCAGATTCAAGTGAAACGACGAAAAAAATTATTCTGCTACATCCGCAGAAACCGCTCAACGCGTTAGAAGAACCAGATCGAGAATTCGCTCAAACCCATGTAGCTGAAGAAACGACATATGAGTTGATTTTAGGTTACGAACATTGGACAGCTGAGCAAGTTTTAAGAGCGGTGTTGCCAGCTGATATCAGTGAAGTACCATCTTCGTTTGAGACAATCGGTCACGTAGCACATGTGAATCTGCGAGATTCGCAGTTAGATTACAGGAAGTTGATCGGTAAGTGACATCGACTCATGGGAAGCGACTCCATCTTTAAGTCAATCAAAGTACATTTGACTTTGTGGCATTGTATGATGCTGGGGTGGGATGGTGTAAGGGGGGAGGGGAGGCAGAATAGCGTCGGGGCAAAGCTTTGCAACGTCATTGTCTGGTGTTGTAGTTATTTCAAATTTAGTGTGATATTTGGCCAATTTATTATATGGCTTGTGTTTGTAACCAAGATAACATGCACCCTGATTGGCTAATGTTAGGGCTTTCTCCCACAATGTTCACAGGCGATTACAGGCTTGCAAAAACAAAGCATACAGCCATATAACAAACAACTTATTAACCTTGAATATTCGGTCTTTACAGGAAAATCTCAAACCTCGGCCTTGCTGTA